TACAGGTGAAACTCGAATAATTAGAATATCGTGCAAAGTTCATTTATTTCACTAATGCAACTTAAAAGGTGAAACTAATATATGAGATAGACTCATTACATGCAAAGCAAGATAATTCAAGCTGTGATTTGTCATAATTGTGATGATTATGGCTTACAGCTCATGAAAACCCCAAGAACCCCAAATCCACAACCTCAAAAAAGTAGATTATTACATGCAATCAATAAAACAAGGATTGTACATAGAACAATATCGGACCTCTGAAAAGTACAAGCATGCATATGTACTCAGTACTTGGTTTGGGCCCCTTTTGCAGCACTTACTGCAATTACTTTTGCACGATATTCTAATTATTCGAGTTTCACCTGTATAATATGTGTAGGTGCAATGAATGAGGAAGATGGAAATTATGGTTAAATAAACACATAGCAAAAATTGCAAAATTACCCCGGTCCCCAGGAACGAAAACAATTTCTGATGCTGTCACTAAGGGGTTAATTAAACACATTTTGTTTTTGCTTACAATTATTGTTTTTCTACTTCCACTCTTTGACATCCCAAGCTTTGGTACCAGAGGACCTTGTCCTGGCACTGCAGACCCCAGAGCTTTCAGCATGAGCCTTTTGTAAGCTTCATAATTTTATGTCAGAACTCACACTGCAATCTTTTGGGGGGCACCAGTGAGGCAGTGATGGTGACTCAACCTCCCCCCACCACCACCACCACCACCACGCTGTCTTTACTGAATAAGACATAGGATGAGTCCTATGTATACTTATAACCTGCTCTCTTCCAATACCCATGCTCCTGGTTATTAGAATGGAGTCATTGCCTTTGGTGGATCTGGAATGTCAGAAGACACATAGGGGTTCATTTATAAAAGTTTGCACATTCACATGGCACTAGCATTCTTAGGGGGCGCTGATGAGTATAGAAAATACCTATACTCATCAGCAACATCTTTTATAAAGGAACCCCTTAACATATATGGTGGGCTGCTGCAATGCAAAGCCATGCCCCCTTTCGTCTAAGCTTCACCATCTTTTTTTACTACAATATTATAACCTGTGCAAAATGCCGTACTATAATACCATACACAGAGCACGGTTCCTACCCCATGTTGGGTCATTATAGACAAATTTAACCAAACTGCTGTAAATTGAAAAAATTGAGGCTGTCATTGTAGACCACAAACTGAATGGTAGCTTGCAGTGCCAGGCTGCGGTAAACAAAGCTAGCAGGGTCTTGTCCTGTATTAAGAAGGGGATGTATTGCAGATACAAGTCTATAGTTGTGCCACTTTATAGATCATTGGTTCGGCCACATCAGGAGTAGGCGGTCCAGTTTTGGCCGCCGGTACTAAGAAGGGATGTCCTTGACCTGGAGAGAGTCCGGCGGAGGGCAACCAAACTAATTAGGGGAATGGAGGAGCAGAGCTATGAGACAAGGCTACTGAACTTAAACATGTTCACGTTGAAAGTAAGGAGATTAAGGGGGGATATGATTTTCATGTACAAGATGTTCAATGGTGACAGCAACATTGGCAAAAAACTCTTTAAGATTAACTCCATTACAAAGACTAGAGGCCTCCACCTAAAATTGGTGGAGAAAAAATTCCAGCACAATGGGCGAAGAGGGTTCTTTACAGTAAGAGCGGTTAGGGTCTGGAACTCACGATTTCCTGAGGGACCGTAATATTCAGGGATACAAGTATTCCTAAGCATGAGTGGACCTATATGGGTTGGACTTGAGGGACGCATGTCTTTATTCAACCCCAAATACTATGTAACTATGTAACTATATCATTCCTGACCTCACTTTTAGAAAATGCTACTCTCTTGGTATCTAGTTGATCTTACAGGTTATAGAATTCCTGAGTCATTAGCCCAGAACAAGTAAGAAAATCAAGATCTTTAATTCCACTCTACTTGCTCCATGCTTTTTGCTGGTCAGTGACTCAAAAAGCATTAATATCAGAGGATCTTCACAACAGCCAAGCAACCAGCTTTTTCAGAAAGATGTCAGCAATGGCAGACTGCACAATTCTTTCCGTACAGGACTATAAGGGCTCAGTCACACCAAAACTTGTTGGTTGTGCTACATTTCCCAGTGCGGTGCTCATTCCCAACAATGTTTTACAATTGGGGTAACATTCTTTGTGTCAAATTTTCTGAGAATTGAGAGGGGTCCTTCAAAGAAACAAAACAAGGAAAATGTATGGCGTTGGGCGTTAATGCTATATACAGTATATTTGAAAGCACATCTGAGGTGAATGAGCTCTAATGCTGGCCACATACAACCTGTACAATCTAATTATACCATTACGTACTCAAGAGTATACCTCAATAATCCACTCGGTTAGGTTGGCCTTTATATTATACATAAAGCTAACAAAAATTGAAGAGACAAACTGTAGCACGTATGGACAGCTTTAAGGTGCGTACAGACATCAAAGTACATTTGCCCAGCCTGGCCATTTACTGTATGCCAGATGAGGCACTATTTGTACACCTGTAGGCCATCCTCAACCTCAGAAGACATCAGCTCTAGTGGGAGGGTGGGTTAAGGGGTATTTATTGGCTACATAGAATTTTTACCGGCCAACTGCTATTGTTCCCCCCCCCCTGCATGGAAAAGGCCAGCCTCCCGAGGAGGGTCTGTATCTTCCTCTTCCCCCATTAAACAGACACAAGCATGCGTGTCTGCTTGATTGAAATCTGCATGTTTGTGCTTCGAGCTTTCATTAGAATGATCACTAAAGACTTGATAATGCATGACCAGGTCACATGGACAGATCCTGTTCTTACTGCAAATTGGTTACGCTGACATTCAGCACTCATCCAGCCCTAATTCAGGCTACAAAGCACAGCTCTTCAAGAAATCACTTCTTATTCTTGCTCAAGCCCTGAGTATATGGGAGTCTAATGCCCCTGAAAGTGTTGATTGTATCTGACATTTCATTCATATAACATAAATGAACCCCCCGAGTGAGATGACCATTTTTTAAGAGGCGCTTTTAACCAGACATCCAAGAGATAACCAGTTTGGGAATTGTGCAGGTAAATTTAGACTGTTTATTGAAGCAGGGATGACAACCAAACCATCATATTGCCGACATGTTTAAATTACACAGGCTCTATGGATGAATAAACCCAGATATGGTACGTTGATTAAACCCAATTGTTCACTAAATCTGTGTAACTTAAACATGGCAAGTTATAAGACTGGTCATACATTATGTAATGATGGTTTGGGGTATATATATATATGAGTACTATCATTTCATTCTGTTGTCACGATGTCTGTCCTCATGAAGGGACCCTGTGTGGTTCCAAAACGTTGGCTGTTGTGACATGCTTCTTTAATAAAAAGAACATTTGGATTTACTTCATTTCACGACTGCTGGTGATCTTCATTGCTCTCTACTGTTGTACGCACGGCGCCATCCGTGGACATCACTACAAGCACCACCGTTACTTCTAGATTTCTATTGCTGTATGGTGTGCAGGGGAGACCCTCGCTTAATGGTCATACAAGGCTTGAATTTGGCAGTGGGTGGCCGTTTCGTCTAGCTCCACAACTTAAATGCAGTCACCGTTCGGGTATTCAAACAACCACAGTCTATTGTCTAAATACAATAGCGGGTACTGAAGATTTCTCCATCCACACTGTTTAGCTAAATCTGTATGGCTAGCTTTATTACTAATCCTGGCCAGAGACATAGGACGATGGCTGAATGTACAGGAATAACCCAACCACTGATCCACCATCTTTTCAGATTTGTGTATAAACTCTCACACCACCATTATGCCCTTAGGATTAAATAGGTTACAAAAGATTTTCATAGATGCAATCCTAGCAGACAAAATGCATTCTGATTTAAAGAGACCCTTTCAACAGACCAAACATATTTTTTATTTGTAATATAATAATGCTATTAATAAACTCTCCATTTTGTTCAATAATGAAGCCAGATCAAACAAATATACAATGCTCAGCAAAGTATGTCTTTAAATTTTGTGCCCAAGCACTTACAGTTATCATGTTTTAGAACAGCTGACTCCAACTCTCTCAGCTCCACTTCCCCGAACTGTCTCTCCCTTACAAGATCACAAGGGGCAGAGCAGTCTCCAGCAGCTGTCCGTCTACTAGCTTGGTGAAAAGGTGGAGCGGGGAGCAGTTAAATGTTTTGCCTTGTTGTGCCTGTGTGTTTCTGGAGACTTGCACAGCTTACTAGCACACACAAGTTTGGCTCCATAGGACCCTGCAAGGAAAAGGAGCCACCCTAAAACAGGATATCAGGGCCATTAGGGAGCCAGCTGATTCTGCAGGAAGCCAAAACTTTTAAACATGAAGGAGCAGCATCCATTGTAAGTGATGACATTTGAAATACCTTGAAATCATTCTGACTTTAATATCACTTTAAATGCACTTTTCTCCACTCTGGGCAAAGATTATTTTAACTGCACCAGTGTGTGCAGGAGAGCAGGGTCTGATCTGTGTGTTTACCAAAACTGTGTCGGGGAGCAGTTCTCCTGCATACAGCCTTAGCGCTATCAATTAAATTTTTGACTGTAGTGACCGGAGGAGGAACAGTAGAGGGCAGTTGAAATATAAAGGAATCCGACACACCCAAAAGTGTAAATGTAATTTTTCTAACTTTGCAATAAGTTAAGAAAATCATTGCCCACTGTTGGCAGCAGTGTGTTCACAGAAAGCACTATTATATTTATAACTATAATGTTTAGACTGGTGACAACTTCTCTGAGGTTTGTTTTTTTCACTTTCAGAAGGTACTATTACATATTCCATTCGGGGAAGTAAAATACAAACATTTTTATACAGTTGCAATAACAAATGCAATCTTGATGCTTTACCTTGGATCTGAATCCTACTGACAAGCAAAGGTATTACCTATTGTTAAGCAGAACTTACTTTCTGATTCATGTAATATGGGTCTAGGTCCTCCAGTGGCTCTGACACCATTCCAGGTGGTATATCACCATATATAAATGGCAGACTTTTGCCCGCTTCCAAGTCACTGCTCGGCTTGGGGCCATTTTCATCATCGTCAATGTTTTGCTCTTGCTTGGGCTTCTTTGCCTTCTCCTCTGCAATGCGTTTCTCGATAGCGTCAAGGGATTCCCTGGTGAAATAGTGGAAGCTGTCGGGTCCTGGTGGTACAAGTCGTGCCTGCGCCATCTTTTCATCCTGCACCTTTTAAATTTACTGCTTGGCTCCTTTCATAATGGAATTCTGAAATGATTGGAAAAGAAACTCAATGTTAGCCAGGTTGTCTGAAGAAACATACACAAGAAATTAGGTATACAGCTAGCAGAGAATATAACTTCACGGGCAGTGAAGGGTTTAGGGTGTTAACTGATTACTTAAAATGTATGACTAGGGGGTATATATGGGTTGGACTTGATGGACGTATGTCTTTATTCAACCCCAAATACTATGGAACTATGTATATTTATATAAAATTTGATAAGTGACTGTATCAGTGTTCACACAAAAGTCCCACATAATACCCTTGCAAATGTATTTTAATATGCACAAAATTGTATTTTTTGGTATTTAAGTTGACTTTTAAATGTAACAGTCCCTAATACTCCAAGAACAGCCTAACAAATGGCCTAAGAACATTCGACCAGAAGAGAAAAGTCTGAAAAAGCAGCTTAAGAACATTCTACTGGAAGAGAATAGCCTCAAACAATAACTTAAAGTGACATTAAACCCTCAGATTTTTTAACATAAACCAATATTGTAATGTGTGCCTTACTGTAATCCATGGTAGTTTCCCTTCTCTTTGCTGCTCTTCCTTTTAAATCTGTACCTCTTCTCCTGCTGGGCAGAACTTCTGTTTTGCAGCAGACTGCCTTGTCTCTGGAATGGCTACATGGTGCCTGTATGCAGGTTCACAACCTGAGCCAGCACTACAGGAAGAGGCACTCAGCTGCAAAGGGAAGTTCTCCCCAAGCATGAGAAGACATGAGGATTTAAAAGGAAGAGCAGCAAAGAGAAGGGAAACTACCATGGATTACAGTAAGGCACACATCACAGTATTGGTTTATGTTAAAAAATCTGAGGGTTTAATGTCACTTTAAAGGAGATCTATGCGGTGAGTGATTTCCACTCATCCTCATAGATAGAACTGACCTATGGCAAAGAAGCTGTCACAGGTCAGCTCTATCGATCAGGAAGTGAGCAGAAACATGTACCGATCTGCTCACTTCCCAATCGTCTCCCTGCAGTGAGTGGTGAATGTCAGTCACCACTCTCCGCAGGGATTCCCCCCTCTCCTCTCCAATCCTCCAGAGCTGACTGGCGGAACGGACCGGGGAGGGGGCGGGTACAGCTGACTCTTCCTCTAGATAGGCAGAGCCTGCTGTCACTCACAAAGCTGGCCGGATCTCTACAGTATTGTCGGGATCCGTCCCGGCTGCGGCGCTCTCAGTATATCACGGGCAATAGTATATGTCCTTCAGTGACCCTTAAGAGAACTATGGGGAAAAACACTAACCCCATAGTTCTCTTTTAAAGAACAACTCCAGAATTTTCAAAAATTGACCCTCGAGCTGGGGCTACCCCAGCACTGCAAGGGTTAACTGCCCGTTTTTCTCTAGGGGCAAAAATAAAGAAGACATGCTTACCGGATCCTCGGTCCTGCCTGGCTGCTAGACCGGTCCCCAAAGCCTCTTCTCCTCTAGGCTGTGGCGATCTCAGGACCAGTGACATCATCACGTCTAATACTGGTCTATTAGACATACAGATGCCAAGGCACATACCACAGGCTGAGAAGAGGGGGAGAGATGTGAGCGGTCACTGCCGCAGGACCGAGGATGGGGTGAATATTTTTTCTTGGTTTTCACCCCTAGAGAAAAAACGAGCCGTTAACCCTTGCGGGTTATAGAAATCCTGTTTCTCAGGAGCATTCAAATGGAAGAGAATAGCCTAAAACAGTAGCTTTAGAACATTCGACCGGAAGAGAATAGTCTGAAACAATAGCCTAAGGACATTCGACCAGAAGAGAAATACCTAAAACAATAGCTTAAGTACATTCTACCGGAAGAGGATAGCCTGACACAAATGCCTAAGAACATTTGACCAGAAGAGAATAGCTTAAAAGAACAGCCTAAGAATATTTGACCAGCACATCAAACACCTTAAGAACATTAACAGGGTTATTCACAAAAGGGTGAAGAGTTTGGAGAAGGCAGGAGAAGGGAACAATCTGGGACAGTATTGCTGAACTACAAAGTGAGCCGGATTGGAGAATTTTCCCAAATCAGCTATTTTGGCCTTGATTGTTCACTTCTCCGGCCTTCTCCAAACTCTTCACCCTTTTGTGAATAACCCTGTTAATTTTGCACCATTTGCACAACAGCCACAGCTTTATACATTGTGCAAAAAATTCCTAAACGAATGAGTGAATGCTAACTTGCACAGAACAAATGTACATGCATTTTTTCTGGAAGAATGGCTATGCACATTAGTTTTATAAATAGAGTCCTAAGTGTTCATTTTAGCATTAGGTCAAGGATTAAGGTAAGGTTAAGTGTTAAGCATTCAGGGTTTAAGCGAAAAGGTGGTGGTTAAAGAAGAAGGGGGAAGGGTTAGGATCTCTGTTGGGTTAATACAGCTGTCTGTGTCTCCTGGGGGGAGAATTCCCACCGCTCTCTGTCTCAGTGACACAACAGTAAATTATACAATTTCAGCAGGGACAAGCACAGCAATTAAAACATAAGGTTCTACCTTTTTAACACCTAACAAATATAAGTACTTTCAGTGCAGTCTGTGCCACCAAACGAGAGTTCTGCCTAAAGGTGGCCATACCCTGTGCACATTTTGGCCATTTGTTGAGGAATCGATGTCGGCACCCTTTCGGCCGGCATCCCTTGTTCAGCTGATTGAAGGCGTCTGTTGAAAAATCCTCGTATGAACAGAGGCGGCAGATAATGAGCTGCCGGCTCTGTTCGGGTATTCTGACATTGGTCGGTGGCCGCTGTAAGAATACTAAAGAAACAGCGTGGATTCCTCGATCAAGGCGCACACAGCATTGATGGAGGAATCTGCTCTACTTTTTATTGTTCACCCCGCAGGTTGAACAAAGCAGTGTATGGCCAGCTTTACTTGCCCGCCCTAGAATCTCATTGTATCTTGTTGAACTCTCCACAATCTAAAATACACCTAAAATCCACAGAGGATAGTAAGACCCTCTCGTAACTGCTGCCACAGGTGTGAAGATGAAGGAAACGAAGCACAGCGCCCTCACCAATAAACTTCCTGAGAGACACAAGAAACCTTTGGGTCCCTTTCAGACAGGTGGTCTGATCAGGCCCGCCTGTTAGTTTCTCAAGTAGACCTAATCAGATACCCAATGCAAGTCTATGGACAACTGGATCTAAATGGATGGGTGTCCATTCACACCCGGTTACCCCTGGGTCCGGCCAGGTCCGGTAAAAACAATCAGGTCCAGCGAAATAAAACATTGTTCCATTTCAACGGACCTGATTGTGCCAGATCGGAGGTAATCTGATGTAACAGACATACTGTATGTTAGTTTATATCCGATAACCCATAGACTGACATGGGGTTCAGTCATTTCAGTTGGACGGACATGGATATCACAGTGGTGACATCCGATCCATACCGCTCCGATTTAGAGGGGATCCATGCATTCTTCCCCTCCTGATTGGATAGTGTGAAAGGGACCTTATGTGATTTAACTGTCAGGTATTTCTGAAAAACTGGAAAAACTGGTTATAAAGTCCATCTGCGGACATAAGTATCCTTGCAGTGAGGCTACCACCAGCCCCCCTCCCCCCCTTTTAGGGGACAGGGGTAAAGCCTCCCACTGACTCCCCTGTGTCTAATACCGTGTTTTCCCGCAAATAAGACACTGTCTTATATTTTTTTTGGTTCAAAAAAACACACTAGGTCTTATTTTCAGGGTAGGTCTTATTTTTATTATTTAATGTACAACAATCCACATTTATTCATGTACAAAAATATGGTGATCAGGGCAATCAGGGGTGCTGTACCTTTCCAAGAGCAATTTGCTAACCAATCGCTGGTCAGAATGAGCGAAGCGTGCGTTTTTACTATCGATTTTTCACAGGCGGAGTGCATTTGGTATCACTCCGTCTGTGACAGGAGCCGGCGCTATAGAGAAAGCATCGGCTTATGCGGTTCTGCTCCCTCCGGTGCCGCCTCGTCTTATTTTTGGGGTAGGTCTTGTATTGTAGCAATTCCCAAAAATAGTACTAGGTCTCATTTTTGGGGTAGGTCTTATTTTCTGGGAAACAGGGTAGATCCCTCAGCCATAGAGGAGGTTCCATAGACCTGCATTAAAAGTGAGGATGCCGAGGGACATTTAATCAGCTAAGGTGGAGGGGGAAAAGAGAGCGCTGGCTGAGAGGGGAGCGGTGACCAGATATGTGAATCTGCTTTACAGCGGTCCCCTAGATATACACTAAACCCTTGCAGTGTGGGGGTGAAGGTGGGGGGGGGGGCAGTTAGGCCTACTTAAATGTACTTCTTTTGTATGCCCGCAGATTGGGAGGAAGATATAGAATGCACAGATCAATGCAGCTCTGTATGCATTAAACTTTTTCTTTTTTAATGCAAGCAGTGACCTGGTATCAGCCTCTAGCAGTTCAGACTGGAGGGAAAAGCAGCACTAGGAGTCAGCCAGTGGTGCTGCAGTGTCCTTGTGCTAACAAGAGACATGTTGATATAAGTAGAACGCAAAGTGAAAGATGAGCTCATCAGTCTGCTGCTTTTCCTTTCACTGCCCAGTCACATGCTAGGGGAGTGGAGGAGACCTGTAATTGTTACTGAACTGGATCAAGTAAATATCAGGTCTCCCTCTTTGCCAGACCGTGCAGTGCTGTGTGTTAGGGCTGTGTAAATCTCAGGACTGTTTAGACAGAAATACAAACCATGTGGCAGGCAAAGCGGCTGCCTTATATACATTTTATCTGTGTAAGTGGGCCTAATGTGTACTGTAGACATACATTGTCATCATGCTAAACTTCATGTTTTTTAATCACATAAGAAACTGAACCTAAAAATAAAAACGTCAACAGCTCTATAGAAACGCATGCATAGCCAATATTGAAACCTGATGAATCATGATACAAAGTATTTCCCTGCAGAATATAAAACCCATATTCCATTCCAGAACACAGTAAAACAATCACCACGGTGCGGTGTGCTTGATCTAGCTCTAAAAAGCAACACAAATATGA